CTTTGTTATTTCAATCTTAGCTTGTTTATCCCTACGGGCATGCACCTAAAAACGAAAGTCTGCCACCAAAAGCTTATGTTGAGAAACAACACACTCCCCTGGTATCACCTTGCAACCCAAGCATGCTCGTTTGTCCTTCTTACGAGGACAAAGTCAATCTGGCTAAAGTGTTGTCTGCTACTGAATGTCACTAGATGAGATTCTCTCTTTCTAAAGTGTTGGCTATCATCAGGTCAAAAGCTATCGCGAAGTCCAGAACTTCCTCCCCCTCCTGATTCCTACTACCATACCCAAAACCTCCATGAACTGCCTCAAAACCTGCGCTTGTAGTACCTACATGCCCATTAAGATCTCCTCCTATAAAAAGTTTCTCACTACTAGGTACAGCTCTAATCAGGCCATCTAAGTCTTCCCAGAACTGTCTCTTAGCACTCTCGTCGAGGCCTAATTGGGGGGCATACGCACTAATTACGTTCAAGACCATATCACCAACGACAAGCTTGACTAAGATAATCCTATCTCCTTGCCTTCTCACTCCCACCACACCATTCTTGAGGCTCTTATCAATCAAAACTTCTACTCCATTTCTATTCGCGACTGTCCCTGTGTACCAAAGCTTGAAACCTGTATTGTCCACCTCCTTCGCCTTTTGACCCTTCCATTTAGTCTCTTGAACGCATAATATATTTACACGCCTCCTAGTCGCGGTATTAACTAATTCTCTTAACTTACCTATAAGCGACCCTACATTCCAACTACCTAAACGGATCCTAGTTGGTTCGACTAGCTTCCTTACCCTTCACACCCATCGACTCAGATGTGAAGACCCTTGCTCATATTTCACTACACCCGGACGCCGATGTAGCGCGCCACTAAGGAAGCGATGACCCGATCCTTGCTCACTTGACATCATGCCCAGATCACGACACGGCGCGTCACCAAGGGGGTGCCAACCCGGCCCTTGCCCATTTAACACCATACCTAGGTTCCGATGTGGCGCGTCGCTAAGAGGGTTACTCCCCAACGGTTTTCTTTTGGGTTTCATCTCTATTAGAATGTCTAGATTTAACGTTGGCTCGCCACGCCTATCACAACCCTCCTCCTTTACCAAGGCTTGAGACCTGCTATGTTGAGACAATATAGGCGGAGAGAAAATGGGACTGGTTGTTAATTAGTTCCAAGGAATGATGTACTAGTACAAATTGTAAAGGTACATGTATATAATATGTTGCTACCTCTTGTATAGTAGTTAGTATACAGAGCAGTAGTAACAACAATTAAGGAGCAAGCAGCATATTTGCTGATACCATGTATGCAAGCAGCAAGATTTGCAGCTAGCTAAGCTATCTAGAGTAAGTATGATGGTATCCCCTCAATAAGTAGGACTAACGACATTTAACTACTAATTCGGTTTGAACAAACCCCCCCCTCCCCAAGTAGCAATTACTTCATTCCATTGTTTTGCATTTTCCAGACATGTACACCCTCTATCTCAAATTATAAGTCATTCCAAGAATTTTGGAGAGTCAAAGCATCTCAAGTTTGACCAAAATTATAGAAAGAATTATAAAGATTTATGAGATCAAATAGATATACTATGAAAATATAATTAATGAAGAACCTAATGATACTTAGTTGGTATCATCAATGTTATTATCTTATCATATAAATTTGGTCAAACTTGACATGCTTTGACTCTACAAGATTCTTGAAATGACTTATAATTTAGGATAGAGAGAGTATCTTTTTCTTATGTACATGTACAATGTACAACTCACTGTCCAGACGAACAATGCAATACTAATGCGAGCAACTCCTAAGACACTGCAACACTAATAATGCGAGCAAACAATTGCACCCTATATACTCCTAGACACATCATTTATATATCTTAGAAAAGTTAAAATAACTTACGATTTAGAAGGAATCCCATCTCCTAATGTTTGGCAATCACGCATATGCATTCCTCAACCGCTCCAATCCAGATAGAACAAAAAAAGAAATGTTTCATTTCACATCATCGATGTATATGGTTACACTCTGACCAGGAAAATGAGACTAGTCCAAGTTCATGCACCTCCGACCTTTGCATCTGTGACGATGGATGGCAATAAAGCCATCCACAGTTTATATATCCACAGCCCCAATTGTATATACACCCCCACCATCCAAGGAGATAACTGTTTGAAAAAACAAATTTGTAAGGGTTTCTGTTTGAAATTTATCCACAAATCTATATATATCTTATAAATGTAGACCTCATCAATATTAGACTTTTGTCTGAATATGTAGACCATCCATATCATCTCCCACTGAATGACATGTCATCTTCACTTACTTTTAACCTCTTAATGTAAGCTATCCATGTCACCTCCACTACAATATATTGCTATTTGTTTTCTTGTTTCGTCATCTAACTCATACATGTAACAATTTTATTTGTAAGAAAGTCCCGTAGCAATGTATGGAGTATCCTTCTAGTATAGAATTATTGATAAACTAATTAAGATACCACACATTACTTCATGTCCACAAATATAAAATCATGTGTATACAAATTATTACCATTAAGGCCTGGGTTAGCTCAACAATTGTCCTTCAAATCCACCAAACTCTTGGGTTAGGTGTGCTTCGATTTGGAACATATGTGGGCCCTTTAAATAATCTGTCCGAAAAGTTAGGGAGTATTTTTTTATCATTGGACCGAAATTGACCTCCTGATGTGCTCTTTTATTGGGGGAAAGATGTTTTCTGACGAAGGGAAGTTTTATTCTGGCCTCTGAATAATGATGCCATCAAATAACAAAACTGCATCACAAATATCAAAACTAAGCGCAAAGCATAATACTAATATTGAACAGAGCGTAGCCATTCACACTTATAGTTGTGTACAGCTAACCCCTCTTGTATACTTACTCCATCCATATATATAAAGGATCTTAATTAGTGTCTAAAATTTATCCACAAATATAAAGGATTCTGTGGGTAAACTAAGACAGCACACATTAATTCATCTCCACAAATACAGGGCATGTGTATATGATTTATTGCGTTCAAGGCTGGGTTAGCCGACAGGCATCCTTAAAGTCTTTTTTTTGTGATTACATAATACAACTCAGACACTCAAAATGCATGCACACCCAGCCATGTGAACCCACGCACGCACACCCTACCCCTATAAGCATCTTTGAAGACTTGGCTAGCAAATCCTTGAGATTGACGAAGTCACCACAGGCGCCTCGCTGTCCATGGAAACGTCGCCTACCACTAAAACTACAAACGCCGTTATATTCTGGAATATTCACTCTCACACAGAGTAAAACCTAGGACCTATGGTGCTACTGAGGCTCTTGTAACCACTAGGACTACAAGCCTTTTCGCAGGCATCTTTAAAGTAAATCCACCAATAAAATGGGTTAGACGTGCCTTAATTAGAAGCATGTGATGAGTCCCTTTGCTAATGCTACCTATTTCTCTTAATTTGTCCTAATAATCCTAGGATTCACAGAATAAAACATCCCATGAATTCACCTAGTTAGATGGTTAATTTATTAGAACAATACTCTCTGTCCCCCTGGATAAATAGATTCCTAGAGTCTTGTCTTAAGTCAAACTTTACTGACCTTCTATAAAAACCCATCAAGATTTATGACATCAAATTAGCATCATTATATATACTATAGAATGTGTTTTCATAATGTGCTCATTTTATATCATAGATGTTGTTACACTTTCCCACAAAATTAGTCAAACTTAAGATAGTTTGACTCGCATAGATTTTAGTAGTTGATTTATTTGGAGACGAAGAGAGTAGGTAACAAAAAGGGAATCCTACGATTATTAGCACAAATTAGGGGTAATAGGTAGCGACATTTTCGTGAATTCCATCCATCTAGATCACACTACTCAGGGACAATTCCGTGCATCATATCCCCTCCTCTTCCTAACACCCCCCAACCACACACACACACATCCCACCCACTCAGCTTGTCCTCAAAGAATCCCACGACACATTGACTTTTCTGCTTCCATGTTTGGGCTGTTGCTACTCATACCATGGACGCGCACAGCTGTGGCACAGTAGACAACGAAATTCTCTTGGTCCTATAGCACCAATTTTTCCTTACAAGAATTAAATCACAGTCATTTTAGTGTTTATATACATATATATTGCTTTGCCTTACTTTACTTGTATATATAGCACTAAGGTGCATAAATCTTTATATTTCACTTTTCGAGGGAAAACGTCTCTATGTACTCTCTCCGTACCAAATTATAGTTCAATGAATTTAGCTTTGTCTAAGTTAATTTGACCAAATTTTTAAGAAAATATATTAACTTCTACAACTCAAATAAATTCACTATAAAAATATATTTCATCAAGAATTAATGAGGCTAAATTGATATTGTCGATTTTGTAAACTTGATCAAGTTAAAAGAAGCTTGACTTACGACAAAAGTTAGCATGAACGGAACAGGGTGAGTATAGGTAAGATTTATGCATATCCCTCGATTTGGTCCGAATGAAGGTGTACAATAGACACACACGTGCATAACATACGTATGAAGGACAGGGTGAGTTGAAAGTCTCAAGCCCTGGCTCGTGTGGTCGATGCCAATGCCGCGTGGTCATGCACACGCCCATGCGTTCACACCGAGAAATGGATGCCTCACTGCTTCTTTTTATTCTTGCATGCGACTGCAGCATCATATATAACACACGTGCCAATTAAGCTCGATTGGTACACAGCACTGCATATATAACCAAGTACACTCTAGCGGCCGAGCGAGAGCTACACTCTCCATGACAACACCTAGCTAGCTACAGCTCTCTCTCATTCTCGTGGCCTACCTTAAAAAAAGTTAGCTTTCTCACTTCGTCAGAGAGAGTGACATTATTGACCCGAAAACTACCAGCACCAGTAGTAGTTACTTACTTCGCACACCTTTAGCTGCTTGAGACAAAGGGCAATCACAATAATTGAGTACTTACTGATCGAATGGACAACAAGATGAGCAGCCTTGTCATGCCGCCGCCCTGCGGCCATGGCTGGGAGATGATGGAGGCCATGAGGAGGCAGCAGGACCTTGTGATGCAGCTACGAGCGCTCGTCCTCCCGCTGCTCCACGGCGTCATCGATGATACCTTCTCAGCCACCGAGATCGCCGTCCAGCTCTTTGACGACGTGATCGGCTGCAACATAGGCGTGGTGTCTATGCTTGAGGGCTGCCTCATGAGTACCGGAGGCGGAGGTGGACCTTCGGGAGATCCAGTCGTCCACGACAAGTCATTGGTGAGGAAGAATAGCACTCCTAATGGTGAGAAGATGACGGAGGAGCAAGCGCGATTGGCGAAGCAGCCTAATAGCGTTGGTCAAAAGAGAAGGTGTGATTTGATGAATATCAGATGCGATCAACTTGTTTTATTACCAGTATGTCCATATAATCCAGCTTTTTGTAACATCTATGCATCAACTGATTCTACATATGTCTCTAGGAGGAACAACGACAAGCAATCAAGGTCCCTTGTTACACATGTTCCACACTATGATGGCCATCTGTGGAGAAAATATGGGCAGAAGAACATCAATGGGAGGAAATAACATCCTAGGTAAATAATATATCTATCGATCTCTTATAGTATCCGTCGATCATCACATTCTTCATCATCCAGAAAACAAGCTGCTTACAGTTATTGCATGAGCAGATTTGACTGTCCTTTCATTTGTGATCAAATCCTTACTATACATACATGATCTCAAGCAAATCTACAAACTATATATTATAATAGACACTACACATATATGGTAATAATAACCATATCACATGAACTTGTGGTCAATTAATCAGGAGCTACTACAGATGCGCCTACAGAGAACGGAACTGCTTAGCAACAAAGACAATTGAGGAACAAGAACCAAATGACGATGATGGTACCGGTAATAGTTCCATAGCCGGCGAGGAAAGTGCAAAGTACAGTGTCGTGTACTATGGTGACCACACTTGCAAGGACCATCATACCATCAGCATGGTCCGGCTTCCCCAACTCGTTGGAAGTATGGATCTTCATCAGAGCACAGAAATGCCTCAAACAAGTATAGATGTTCAAGAGTCTGAGGCAGACTTGGACTTGCCAGCTTTACTAGAGGTGTTCGATAGTTCTCTCATTGATTGGGAGGCACTATACCGCAGCCCCAATGCAGCGACTTCATAGTTCTCTCTGAAGTGCCGACTAATGGTTTGTTAGAGATTTGATACCGACAGACAATGCATCGGCTATCTTCCACTTTTAGCGTCGATCTGTTGTTTGACGCTACTTTGGTGTGTTTCACTACGCCAGACTCTTACGGTAGGAACGGGGACATTTGTACAATAGGGGTGGCTAGGGTTGGGGGCGCCCCTACAGTGGGCGTCCTCGGGTCCCAGCAGCCCAACCGCCCCTACAGATGGCACTGTAGGGGCGGCTGGTAACTTGAGCCGTCCCTACAGTTGGGGTTGATCTGTAGGGACAGCTCAATCACCAGCCGCCCCTGCAGTGCCCATTTTCCTTTTTTAAAATTTCAAAATTTGAAAGGTTCAAATTTAGTCAAATGATAAGATGATCAAAATAAAAGTTGTAGATATTGATGAGCTGAACAACTTTTGTATTCATCACTTTTACATCTAAAATCATTTAGGGTTTTAAAATTTGATTTGAACTTGTCAAATTTCAAATTTCAAATTTTAAAATGTGTAAAACATTGTCACATCCAAGTTTGATCAAACTTAAATGCTGAATCATGATTTTAGAAATTTTTAGGAAAAAAACCATCACATTTTGAGTTAGTATGAGGGAGAACAACTAGTTACAAAGTTTACCCATCGATTAAAAAGAGAAATCACACTGTTCTAAATGATCCTTACATGATCATAGTGAACAGTGTGATTTCTTTTTTTAATCTGTGGGTCAACTTTGTAACTAGTTTTTCTTCCTCATACTAACTCCAAATCTGATGATTTTTTTTTTCCTAAAATTTTCAAAAATCATTCTCTATCAATTTATTTTGTTGGTTTTGTCAATATATACATATGAAAAGTTTGAGCAATTTAAATTTTGAATTTCAAAAAAATGCAACTTCAGACAAGATTTTGGTACCCCAAATGATTTCAACTGAAAAAGTGATAAATAATAAAGTTGAATAACTCATCAAGATCTACAACTTTTGTATTGGTCATTTCTTCATATAACAAAGTGGTAATGACATTGTTCACAAATGTGATACATTTCTCATATGGTTTTATAAACCATATGAGACATGTGTAAAATTAGTGAACACTGTGTGCTAAGAATTTGTCAAATGAAAAAATAACCAAAATAAAAGTTGTATATATTCATGAGTTGAACTTTGGTATTCATAACTTTTTATGTTGAAATCAATTTGGGTCTTAAATTTTGGTTCGAACTTGTCGTTTTTTAAAATTTCAAATTTGAAAGGTTCAAATTTTGTCAAATGACAAGATGATTAAAATAAAAGTTGTTGATATTAATGATTTGAACAACTTTGGTATTCATCACTTTTTATGTTGAAATCATTTTGGGTCTCAAATTTTGGTTTTAACTTGTCATTTTTTAAAATTTCAAATTTGAAAGGTTCAAAATTTGTCAAATGACAAGATAACCAAAATAAAAGTTGTAGATCTTGATGAGTTGAACAACTTTTGTATTCATCAGTTTTACATCTGAAATCATTTAGTGTTTTAAATTTTGGTTTGAACTTGTCAAATTTTAAATTTCAAATTTTACAATACGTAAAACATTGTCACGTCCAAGTTTGATCAAACTGAAATGCTGAAGCATGATTTTAGAAATTTTTAGCAAAAAAAACCATCACATTTGGAGTTAGTATGAGTGAGAACAACTAATTACAAAGTTTACCCACAGATTAAAAAGAGAAATCATACTGTTCTAAATGATCCTTACATGATCATAGTGAGAAATCATTTAGTGTTTTAAATTTTGTGATTTCAAATTTTCAAATTTTACAAATCATTGTCACGTCCAAGTTTGTCAACTGAAGCATGATTTTAGAAATTTTTAACTAGTTTTTCTTCTTCATACTAACTCCAAATCTGATGATTTTTTTTTCTAAAATTTTGTAAAATCATTCTCTATCAATTTATTTTGTTGGTTTTGTCAATATATACATATGAAAAGTTTGAGCAATTTAAATTTTGAATTTAAAAAAAATGTTACTTCAGACAAGATTTTGGTACCCCAAATGATTTCAACTGAAAAAGTGATAAATAACAAAGTTGAATAACTCATCAAGATCTACAACTTTTGTATTGGTCGTTTCTTTATATGACAAAGTGGTAATGACATTGTTCACAAATGTGACACATCTCTCATATGGTTTTATAAACTATGACATATGTAAGATTAGTGAACAATGTGTGTTAAGAATTTGTCAAATGAAGAAATTACCAAAATAAAAGTTGTAGATATTTATGAGTTGAACAACTTTGGTATTCATCATTTTTTATGTTGAAATCAATTTGGGTCTTAAATTTTGGTTCGAACTTGTCGTTTTTCAAAATTTCAAATTTGAAAAGTTCAAATTTTGTCAAATGACAAGATGACTAAAATAAAAGTTGTAGATATTAATGATTTGAACAACTTTGGTATTCATCACTTTTTATGTTGAAAACATTTTTGGTCTCAAATTTTGGTTCGAACTTGTCCTTTTTTAAAATTTCAAATTTGAAAGGTTCAAATTTTATCAAATGACAAGATGACCAAAATAAAAGTTGTAGATCTTCATGACCTCTACAACTTTTATGTTTATCAAATTTTCTTTTGAGATAATTTGGTGTCTCAAAATTATTTTAGTAGTTTTGATTTTAATTTTTTAAAATTTTAAATTTTTCCCCCATTTTTAAAGGTTTAATTTTGCAATTTTAAACTGTTGTAGTTGTTTTAGTTATTGTATATGTAAATATATCTATAAAAAATAATTATAAAATTTGAATTCACATGATGCCTTATCTATTTACTCGACAATAGAAAAAGTTAATAAAACCATTATTATTATACAGTCAAGGGTGAAGCAATTTCGAATTGGGCCCATCAGATATTCGGCTCAGCCCATGTCGGAGCACACTCGCTTTTCACCGTTGGATCGACTTCGAACGGCTGAGATATGCCAAATGCCGAATAAACTGTATTTGGATCTCTTCTTGATCGAAACCCTAGGGTCCTCACTCCCTCACATGACCCCCTCCTCTGGCGGGCGCAGCAGTGTGGGACGAGACGAGCCCCCACCCCCACCTGTGTGGCTGCCCGATGAGCTCGGAGAGGCACGTCATAGGCGCCCCTCGGCCGCGCGGCGGCGTGGACCTCGCGCGCGTTGGCTTGGCCCCATAGTCCTCCCCTCGGCGATTACCCGGCTCGGTCGGCCCGGCGCCAGGAGACGCAGCAGTGACAGCTAGCCCCTTCGTCCCTACCGGCTTGCTTGAGGTGAGTCGCTCGAGCTATCCCCATCTCCGCTTCTTCTTCCTTCCTCCGCCCGTGCATCACGGCTTCCTGATTTGCTCTCTCCACGCGCCTCGCCGCACGTGCTTTCTAGGTGCTGAAGGGGTGGGGTTTCGTGGAGCGGTGGTGAGCCTACGCCGGACCTGCGGATGGGATCGGAGGAGAGGCGTCGGACCTGCGGCGGAGCTGCGCAAGTACATCCACGATGATGGTGGTAAGGCCGCTCGCTGTAGACCAACACATCCGGGGCATCTCCAACATCAGCCGCTCTAGAAGCCGTTTCCGTAAGGAAGCACGTCCGGAAGGGGCTCACTTCTGCACAAACGGCATCGCTGAAATTTTGGTATGTATCAGACTCGATCTCCTCCTTATTTTGCAAATAGAGTCACTACAAGTAGATATACAGAGTTCGATGGGAAGACAGAAGGGGAAAATTCCTAGTGGTTAACACACAATTTCAAAGTGTTTTATTCATTTATGTCAGAATGTGTTTGAATATATGAGACTACTAAGCACTAAGAGCAAAAACATGATGGCGATGTGCTTTCTGTGATGTACTGATGTCCTGTCAGATTGTGTCGAAATGCTGCCTTGAGCTGTTTGTATGCTCTGACGTTGATTTATATCGGCACTATTTGGTGGTTGCTTTGTCCAGCTTGGGTTCTGTTTGGTTGTGATTTTGGAATCTAGTAGAGCCATTTTTTACACTAGATGTTGCCTTGGTAGATGTATAAATCCATGAATCTCTAATGCTCTAGTAGTGTTTTTTCGGATGTTCATGAAGAATGAAATAGAGCAGTGTATTCTTCTATCTAAAAATGAACTAATCTCTGACTCTAGCATTATTCCAGGCACACATATAAAACTAAATGATGTTTGTTCTCCACCGTGCCTGTCCATACGCTGATTTTAGACTAATATAGCATAGGCCAGTGTAGAGTCTTGGTCTTTTATCCATATAGCTAAATGCAATGCAATATTTCATCTACAATTTTAAGTTTATAGTAATATAAGTAATAACTAGTATACATACAATTGTTTTCTTTCACTTAGGAAGTCATTTAAAAATAACTACTATCTAAATGATTATCATTGTTTCTGGGTTTATTTACAATGTTGTAGTACAAATATAAGTTATTATTCACTCACTTGCCGTTGTTCTTTATAATACAGATAAGTAAACAAGTTAAGGCTTACAAGATCCCACTACAGGAACTGTTGGCTTTCCCGAGTGCCAGTTGCACTCGGGGAAGACCCAGTTGCACTCGGGGAAGCCTTCTCCGAGTGCAACACTCGGGGAAGAGCCTCCGTCTAATCCTCCCACGGGAAAAGCGCCTTCCCCGAGTGTCGAAAATCGTGCACTCGGGGAAGGCTTTGCCGAGTGCCGTGCTGGCACTCGGGGAAGACTTGACGCCGTTGGCCGACGACCGACGCCGTTTTTTTTATTTTCTTCCCCGAGTGCAACATTCGAGAAAGATTTTTGAATTTTTTTAAATACTCTTTGCCGAGTGCCGTAGCTCAGGCACTCGGCAAAGAAATTTGTTTTTTTTTAAAAAAATCCCACTTTCCCGAGTGCCACAGCACAGGCACTCGGGGAAGCCACTTCTAAAATTCTTTTTTTTTGTTTTTTGCTTTTCCTGGTAAACAACAAAGCATATATATATCACAAACCACAAATCAACACCAATATGACACAAACCACA